AGGAGTTTGAGTGAGTTACAGCAGGCAGGGTGGCGTCAGCGAGGGAGGAATCAGATCATCAGAGCAGCCGGCAAAGAAAGATCATCACTGCAGTGGAACAAAGACTGGCTCAGGAGAGGCAAGAAGGATCAACTTCTGCTTAACTCCATTCAACCGCCTCCCCTCTGTCCGTTTCATCCATTTCTCGCGTCCTATCTGATATGTTGATCCTGAGTTCTTTGGGACAGGGACTGACTTCTTCATTACATGTCTGTACAGTACCCAAGACAGCAGGGCCTGGTCCTTGGATGAGGTTCCTAGCCTCTGCCCCAATGGAAATAACAAATCATCGCGGATGGGGGAGGACTAGAATGTCACTCACCCAGCAGAGCAAGGCGCTGCTAACACAAGCGATAAGGACGCCCCGTTCACGCACCCTCTCTCGTGTATTTTTAGACTGGATGCTGTTGAAAGAGAAGCTCTCCCTGGCACTCAGCCTCCCTTTGCCTTTCATTGAACTTGACTCTCTACCCATCATGGGTGGCACAGGAGCTGCAGCTGACAAGGAAGGACAAACGGGAGGAAGTGAGATTGGTTACAAGTGCTAATCTAATGACAGCAGGCTCCGGATGGTGACCGGCCCTACATATTGTCCCCTACCCTGACTCGGGGGCAGCTGAAACGGGATGCTGGGATCGAAATAGAAGAACAAAACGCCGTCGAGTGGCATGCGGGAGATGCCGCTGCTCTGCCAGCACAGGGAGCAGGGGCACTGCCTCCAGGCAGGGCACAGTCGCCAGGCCCTAGGAACGGCTCACTGGAGTGCGCAGTTCTTACACTTGGAGCCCCGGAGCCCCGCACTCCAGTCCTGCTGCCAGCGCTGGGAGTGGAGATCCAGGGGTACGTTACAGGGAGAGCTACCAGTGCAGAATCTGCCTCAAGAATGCTGGGCTCCGTGGGGCTGCTTGCGCTGCGCTTCCGGGGTGAGTGGTGAGGAGGGCGAAGCAGCCGAAAAGAGCGCTCAACATCGAAGGGAACAAGGCGCACCGGTCACTGTGGGCAAATACCAGCAGGAGAGCTCACCACCCCAGCTCAGGATTGCACACACAGCAGGTGGGAGATCCAAGGAGACCGTCCGCCCGCCCGGCAACCACCAGGGATGTGCTCTGGAGCGCTCCCACCTATGGATGGATGTTGCCAAATACGTAGGATCTCTGTTCCTTCCACAAGGTGGGATCCAAGGCGAAGGCAAACGTCTGCACCCTCTTGCTGCCATAACTCATTTGGCCAGCCGGTGGCAGCAAATGGCAGCTGATAGCACCATGCTGTGCGTGTCAAAACCAAAGTACATTTTGCTCCAGAGACAAAGCTGATTGATGCCCTGAGGAAATGTGCCTTTTTTTTTTAAGACAGACAGGCAGGGATATTATTAGGCGTTTCCTAATCACATTCCCATTTACCTACTCTAGGACACCTAGGTCGGATTGCTTCATCACCATTCCATTGCACACGCGGCGTCCTGACACGCTCCTTTGGGACAGGAGTTTGGATGTTTGGAAATCAGCCCTGCTCCAGAAAACAGATGGCAGCAGTTTGAGGATTATTGATTATTGCAGGATTACTGCTGGCACAGAGAGAGCAAAGCCTGACGCGGCTGTTCCAAGTGGAAGAGGGAATGCAGCAAACCAGGCGCAGAGCGGGAAATGCATAAAGAAGGATGGACTGAGAGACATTACCGAGTTCTCCTTTGGCTTCTCCACTCCTTCTAAACACTTGGAAATCAAACTTGGCATTAGGGAATCTTCTTGGCTAATGTGGCCCACAAATCTTGTCCCCTCAACTCAGCCCAAGCCGGAGTCAAACTTTTTCTGAGGTTTAAAAAAAAAGAAAGTTGAATTTATTTCCCACGTTATTTTTCATTTCCATCTCCATCTGCCAGGCCGTCAAGCGCCAAAGGACAAGCACTAGGCCGTTTCCAACCCAACCAAGAGCAGAGTCCCAGAAATCTGGTGAGGAAAACGTGCTCTCTCTAGATTTCCAAGCCCAGGTTTGCAGAGATCCCAATAAGCAGCCGAACTTTAGGGTATTTGTATGAACTGCATCTCCAGAGCTGCTGAAGTTTGCCCAGCACAAATCCCAACTCCTTCGAAGTTCAAGGTACTGAGCATGGTGTCTTGAGAAGAAACTGCTGTTTAGTTTGCTCGTAATGCTTTCAGCAAAACTTGATTCTCATATGGAAGGAATGCAAATGCCACTTCTATCTTGGCGTCCCAGTCACTCAGCTCATCTGACTTATGGTCCAGTCCTTCCCATTGGTGAGATTCCGAGCTATGCCCTGGGATGGACTAGTATGCTTAACCCTGTGTCAGCCAGCGGGATGGACTAGATGACCTCTTGAGCAGGGCCGGCTCTAGGCACCAGCCGACCAAGCACGTGCTTGGGGCGGCACCTCAGAAGGGGCGGCCAATGTTCGGGTGGCGGGGGGCGCTCAAGGTTTTTTTATTTTGTTTTGTTTCGGCCGGACAGTACGGGGGTCTTTCGGCGGGGCGGTGCTGGGGGGGGGCGGGGGCTTCGGCGAGCGGTGGGCGGGGCTTTGGGTGGCCCGGCGCAGCGGTGGGCGGGGGTTTGGGTGGCCTGGCCCGGCGCTCAGGGTGGGGGGCGTGGGTTTGGGTGGCGCGGCGCTCGGGTTTGGGCGGCTCGGTCCGGCCCTCAAGGGGGACGGGGGTTTTGGGCAGCCCCGGCGCACCCCCGGGGATTTGGGCGGCCCAGTGCAGCGCGGTGCTGGGAGGGGACTGTGGGGGGGGCCGCGCAGCACTGGGGGGGTTGGGCGGCACAGTGCGGCACTCGGGGGTCGGTGGCGCGGCGCTCGGGGGAGGGGGGGAGGGTGTTACGGCGGGGCACTGCTTTTCTTTTTTGCCTGGGGCGGCAAAAAAGTTAGAGCCGGCCCTGCTCTTGAGATCCCTTCCAGCCCTACATTTCAATGATTCTATGCATCTGCCATGTACTACAGGCTATCACTATATAAAACAGCATACCTTGCAGCGGTAGCTCGCCGGATAACTCAAGTGGCACCTCTATCCTGATTCCTGTCCATACACAAAAATCTCTAGCGCCTATGAAAGGGGCTGTACATCTGAGCTAGCTGGCTTGTTGGGGGCGGGGGAGGTTGAAACTCAAGTTCTCCTAATGCTAGAACTAGAAACGCAAGGGGGATGCCGCTGCAGACTACAAACCTGAGTTAACATTACTCACCAGATGCTAATTCAATCACGCTGCTAATCCAAACACCGCGTAGCTGGAGCGTGATTTCCCAGCATGGCCACTCTCACTGCAGCCAGCCTAGCTCCGGCAGAGGAATCCAAGCTCACTGGGGCAGTGAACAGAATCTCATAGCGTAGCCAGCACCTCCACCTACTCTACCCTGCTGCTGCCCTAATAAAACAACGGACCAGCAGACCAAAACGTACACAGATCGTTAGAGGTGATGGCAACTGAGGCCTGTTCAGATTTCATTTTAGCTTCTGATTTTCAAACCTGAAAAATGAATGAAGGGAAGAAAGAGGGAATCCTCACTTTCTCAGTCAAGCCAGCTCTTCAGAGCATAGGTCTGTATGTCTTTCCTAAGGTTTGTAATAGAAGTTACAGACCCAGACAATACTTTTTTTTGAATCATTGATATCTCAGTGTGTTGAAGATCAGCTCACAATGGAAGATGTAGTCTTGCCTGCTTTGCAGGTTATTATGGAGATGTCCTTGCCTTCATCTTCTGTTAACAGAAGCTAGGTTGTATAGAAGTCAGAAGATCTTGATCTTTGGCTGTCCAATAATTCTCCCCCACTAGTGTCTCGGATTCTACAGAGCTAGGAAGAAACTTCTCGGTGAAGGGATTTCTTCTTCCAAAATCCAGCCATAGAGCCAAAGATAGGAGGTCAAAGTGGCATTTACAGGCACTTACCCGGTAAGTCCCCATAACCGAATGAATGTATCCACTG